TGGGAATAGCAGTATCTGCACGGGACAAACTTGACCCATTGGGGAAAGGCAGCTTCAGGACCCTAAAAGGAACCCAGTAGGAAGCTATACTTCACCTACGTGAGGCTTCATAAAGACCCCACAAATTTGAGACACGGAAGGACTTTTGGCAATCGGGAGTTGTGTTTTCTAAGTCTGAATCTACTTTCTCCTGGACTCTGTATATACTTGTGGGTGAGGATGCTTCAATTTAGGGCTAAGTCTTGGTCGGAGAGTTGAGAATTCAGCCTTTACCAAACTCAGAAATTTGAAAGCTGCCAACACTGCTGAGTTTGTTTTCATTGTAATAGAGTCCAGGGGAATTTATATGTTATACTTGGAATGGTAGCTCGACTTCTCAGGACATTTGACTTTATAGCTGTTCAATTTACATTTTCTTTTGTATAAAATGTATGCTAATCTCTATATGAGTGAATAATCCTTTTAGGTCACACAGAGTTTGAAAGGAGATTAGAATCACAATGGAACCGGGAAAACATGAGCTAGATGAGTCATGAATTATTGTGGAGAATCTATTCACATGCCTTAGGCTAAATGAGAACGAATCCAAGCTGAGGATTGTGGGGGAAAAGGCAGGTCTCATCCATATATGGCTTCTGCTGGGGGCTTCTCCCTTAACTAGAAATCTCACTCAAAGACCAGGGTCCAAGGGATAGCTAGGAAGTCCCGAGTTCAAATCTAGCCTCAGACACATACTATTGTGTGACCATGGACAAGGCTGCCTGCCTCAGTTTCCTCAACTGTAAAATGAGGATTATAAATAGGACCCCCTCCCAGCATCGTTGTTAGGATTAAGTGAAATAATAACCTATGCTCCTAGTGTACAACCAAAGTGAAGCACGATCAGAAAAGGCGATAGAGTGAGAGCTGCAGATAGCCAATGGATAGCCTGTGTGCTGAAGTGATATCTACATAATGCAAGGGACCTCTGTGAAGACCTCCCCCCCCAGCTCACTTCTAGTCATAAAGAATGACTAGAGGAGCAGCTAGGTGGCATAGTAGATAGAGCACCGGCCCTGGAGACAGGAGGACCTGAGTTCAAATCTGGCCTCAGGCACATAACACTCACTAGCTGTGTGACCCTGGGCAAGTCACTTAACCCCATTGCCTAGCCAAAACCAAAAACAAACAAACAAACAAGAATAACTAGAGAATGACATGAGATGGTGGGGATGGGTTGCTACCAGCACCACTGTAGGGAGTATTCACTCTAAGGAGATCACATATTCACTGAAGTATAAATAGGCCACCTGTGGTTTTAACTCCTGAAGACACCTGCAGCAGCTCCCTCCGGGGCCCTCTCCCCAGGGTCTGCCTAACGCTATCTGCTTGGCATTCTCCCTGAAACCTCTGCCACCCCAGGACAGCATCCCCATTTATAATCTTTAGACAATTAGGAGAGTTCTCTCTGCGCTGATAGCTCATCACAGCCCTGTCACTGCACTGACGCATGCATGCCTTATTGGCCTAATATATCATTACAGCAAGGTGTTTGCATGATGCATCGCTTAAAAGATGGAGCTATCAAACGAGTGAGTCTAAGAGTAGATTAAATTTAATTACAGGATAAAAGGATGCTCATCCGTTACTCTGGTGATGAATTAACTGAGGGAAGGAGTGTCAGCTTCCCAAGAAAGAAAGCTGAGACGTCAGTAAAGCACGTCAGTGAGATGGAGTCTCCCCCAGCACCCCGAGGCTTGGAAAAATCCCAGGGATAAACACCATCAAATTAAAGTTTTGTTTATTTATTTGTTTGTTTTTTTAAGCATTGGTAAGTGCACTCTTGAACCTTTCTATATCCTGAGATCTTATTTCAGGGTAAAAATGGGGGAAATTTTCTGTTGTGTTCACAATCTGGCAGTTAGGTATAAAGGACAGAATCCAGAAGATCTGAGCCCCAGTCCATCTATGATGCCATATGCTAGTTGTGTGACTCTGGGCAAATCACTGAAGCTCACTCAGCCTCAGTTTCCTCCTTTGTAAAATGAAGGAGTTGGGTCCCTTCCATCTCTAAATGTCTGAAAGCCAGAGTGTGGTGGGAAGCTAAGCGTATGCCTTGGTGTATGTCTGCCCTAGCATATGATGGGTGCTTGGGTAGTGTGTGGGCCCAGTCTGACCATGTCCTATGCAGTACCTTAGAAGGACAGAACTGATAGAAACAGGGACTGGATAGCACCAGACTCTTATGACAGCCAGAGTTCCATAGAATAAGAGTGTAATCAGTGAGGAATTGCCCATTGGTGGCACATTGACAGGGCCACTCAGTTCCATCCAATGTATTTTAGCCCTGGAGATGAGGGTAACCCATGGCAGCCTATTCCTTTGCGTGACAGGGCTTAGACACAAACCAGACTTCCCAATTGGCTGATAAAGACACACTCTGGGAGAGGTACCTCCCCTCAGCAGGGATGACCTCACTCAGCCTTGTTATTCACACAGGATCCTGCCCAACAAACCCACGGTCATCTCATTAGAGAATCAGCACCATCTTTTTGGAGTAGAAAAGAGCCCATTCCCTGGGGAAGGGCTAAACAAATGATCCATGAATGCAATGAGATCCTAAGAAAGGACGGATTGGAAGAATCCAGAGAAGCATGGGAAGACTCAATAAACTGATGCAGAATGAAATAACCAGAACCAGGAAAATAATATATATGACAACAACAATGTAAATGGAAGAACAATAACAGCAAAAATACCAAAACTGAGAGCCCCTAGGTAGCGCTGTGAATAGAGCACCAGGCCTGGAGTCAGGAAGATCTGAGTTCAAATCCGACCTCAGACACTTATTAGTTGTGTGCCCCTGGGCAAGTCACTTAACCCTGTTCACCTCAGTGTCCTCATTTACAAAATGAGCTGGAGAAGGAAATGGCAAACCACTCCAGTATCTTTGCCAAGAAAACCCCAATGGGGTCATGAAGAGTTGAACACTATTGTAATGACTGAGCAATGGAAAATAAAACTGAACAGTGGGCAATTGTGATAATCAAGCTTGGTCCTATAAAAAAATGAGAAATCGTCCCCCACCCTCATTCTGTGTAGAAGTGAGGGGCTATGGAAGTGGAAAATTGCATATACTGTTAGACTAATTAATGAATTCATTCTGCCAGATTGCTTTTCCTCCCTCTATCTTTCATTCTTATTCTTTCTTATAGACCATGACTCTCTAGCAAAAACAAAAGACACTAATGCTTTTTAAATCTAAAAAACAAACATAAAAAGGAAGCTGTGACTCCCTCCTATACAAATTTCTTTCCACACTCTCCAGTGCTGGGGACAGGCTCTTATTTGACCACTTCCAAAGGACTCTTTGGATATGGTTGGTGGGAACCTAAAGAATTGGGTGAGGAATATGGCCCCCTATTGCAAATGCACAACAAACAGAAAGGTTTTATGTGTATACACATAAATTGTGTTTACCTATCTATCTTTGAAACAGAATGTAAGCTCTCTGAGGGCTCACACCCTCTTGGATGTTGACCAAGTTGCTCTGGGTTGGGGATTGCTTCTGGGGAGCAGACAGGGCTAGCCCTACGCATGGGGGTCTTGTGGAAGAGCCCTGCATGGGGAGATTCAACGGACACAGGGATCTCCCATCCCATCCTTCCCGAAATAATCTCCATCATTATGATTGTGCCTGAAGGCCCTGAGCACTGAAGGCTCCTGTTGGAATAGATACATGTTCCCTGGGAGAGAGAGCACGGGAAGTCATCAGTGATGGAGGCTGATGGGGGATCTCATTGATGTGTCCACCACCCATCATCAGTGGTGGACAGAGCATGCTGCAATTAGAGCCAGGAAGACCTGAGTTTGAATTCAGCCTCCCACTTGTACTAGCTATGTAATTCTGGGCAGTTCATTCACCCTTCTCAGCCTCAGTTCCCTCCACCGTAAAACTGGGATAAAAATAGCCCCCATTTCCCAGGGTTGTCGTGAGGATCATATGAAGTAAGATTAAGTGTAAGCCATACACTATCTGAAAGAAGGAGTCCCAGCCCCAGGTCACACTATTTTGATGGAGGACCAGGGGGTGGAGAAGATACAGGGTGGGCTCAGATGGGGAGGGCCCCCGAGCTATGGGGGATTTTCAGAAATGGAAACATCCCTGGAAGCTTAGCAGACTTCTCCACTCTTTCAACACTCTTTCAGTAACTTAGGAAATACTTCCCTTCCCCCAAACCCACCAAACACAGGCAGAAGCTGGCATCCCCACCGCCTCTGGGAAGACTTCTTTACCCACTTTCTGAGTCACTGAAAAAGCAGAGGCCTCTGAAGGCAAGCAGCAGGCATTTGATTATGCAAATATGTGGTGAGCCCTTAATGAGACTGTCTTTATCCTGTTATATTTCATCATTTCGATCCTTATTCATAAATGCAGTTGCCACATTGAGGCAGTCTATAAAATGCTTACTAAAGAAACTGAATGAGTGGGGAACCAGAACTGACTGCTTGGTCTCCTGAACCCTTAGCAGACCTAGGCTCACAGGATTCCAGATTCGAGAGAACAGCATTTTTGAACCCGGCTCCCCCGTGAGAGCCAGCCTCAACAACTCAATTCAACATGCATTTATTTTAAGTGTCTCCTAGGTGTCAGGCTGGGAGGATACACAGAGACAAAAAGAGTCCTGCCCTCAAAAAGCATTATGTGTCTGGGTCTTACCAACATTTCTTAATCACTGACCAAACCCCTAGACCTTTTGTGGCCCCTAACTTTCCTCCTCACCTCCTACTTCCCATCTTTCTCATTTCAGTGAGGTTTCCTTCTCTGACATCCCTCCACCTCCAGATCTTCATAAAAAATAAATTAAAAGGACAATGATATAAATGGTATCCATCACCAAACCATCCCAGGCATTCCCCAAAGTCACTCCTGATTCCTTTGTCCTCTGTTCTAGAACATTGTGAAAGACCATTGCAGACTTAATAATTTTTCCCCTTGAACATGAAGCATGTCTTCTAACCTGAGGCCCCCAGCCATGGCAGGGGTAGAGGATTGCAGTGTGGTTCTCTTGGGGCCCCTGGTCCAAACAGACATCTTTAGCCTTGTTGTTGCGAAGCTGTTGGGAAAGAAACAAACCAACCCATGTTAGCCTCATCAAGCAGAGTTCCCTCGAATCAGCACACTTGCCTTTCTCTACCATTTGGGATGTGGTTGTCCAATCCATTTTTACGGAGTCAGAAATACAGCCTCCTCTCAGCTCGCCACACAGTAGGTGCTTAATAAATAACTGTTGGTTGATTGACTGAGAGAGGATCTCTAAGGTCCCTTCTAGTATAATTATATTATAGTAATATCCTTTGATATGTAAGATTTGGGAAATGTTAATTAAATTACCACATCTGCATCCCCTTTGTGCTTTGATCCTCATCCTCAGAAAGGGAGGCACTATGGTAGAGGGCTGAACCAGAGTTCAAATCTTCCCTCAGACACTTGCTTGCAGTGTGTTCTGGACAAGTCACTCAGTGTCCTTATCTGTAAAATGGAGGGTTGGATTTGATGCCCTGAATGGGCCCTTAAGTCTATGATTCTCAATTCTGGCTCTGCCCAGTAATTCTGTGTGGCCTTTTAGCTGCGGATCTAGGTGCTCACAATCCCATAGTCATCAGTCTAATTTCTAAATGGCTGGCTTTGCCCATTTCAACGAGGATGGGCACATCCTGCCCAGTAATGAAGAACAAGAACCAAAGGACAGTAGACACTGATCCCTACAGGGAGGCAGACCAGGGTGGGACTGGAAAGATGCCCAGTCTCCTCCACCATCTTTCCCTAACTGGCCTGAATAGGGCCTACACTTCCTACCATGAGTTCTTTTTGAGATAAAGCATTGAAACTCTTAGTTAACATGAAAATAGCATCTGGAGAAGGACGGGGCAATGGGCAGGATGATATTCAAAGAAAATCTTATAAGCCTTAAACATCATCACTCCTTACATTAGTATAGAGCATGGGATGGTGGGATTAGACTCAGGCACCAGAAGGGCCACGATGAGATGGGACATAAGGTAGGTTTTGACAAAAGAGGAGAGAAATCCAGAGCATGGAGCACAGGCATGGGATCATGGGACCCCTAAGAACATGGAGGTGGGCAGGAAATGCCACCCAAGGTGATGGGCCATGCTGAATTAATGGCAGATATTCAGGATGTAGAAAGAAAATGTCACTATTTCCTCAACTTTTAAAAACAAGTTAATTTACCTTTTTTCAATGAACAAAAGCTATTTTCTTTCCCTCCCACTTCTGTTTTATTGAAAAAATAAAATAAAATACCTGTGATAAACGTGCATAGTAAACTAAAACAAATTCCTGTATTAGACATGTCCAAAAAAGAGACGCCTCATTCTGCATCATGAGTCCAACGCCTCTCTGCCAGGAGATGGGTAGCACGCTTCAGCAGCAGCCTTCTCAATTCCTAAACTTTACCTAAATATCACCCAGACCTTATTCCAAGCCTAAGAAGTCCTTAGGAGATTCTCCTGGTATACACTTGTCTTTAAAGTATGACGAGGTCTCTGAGTTTTGATAAATCCATATTCTTTGAGGCTTCCATAATTTCATGGAGACTAAATCAATTCCCAAGTTAAATCATGCCACTTCATTGATGGCAATAATTCAGCAGGCTGAGGCTGGAGCATCAATCAATACAGAAGGGGCTCTAATTGCTTTCATTCATTCATTCATTTACATTTTCTGGCATTCTGATGACTCTGTTCATTGTCATGATGCAGCAGTGCATAGCTAACGTTGTGATAAGTCATGATAAGTGACCCAAGCATCTGGTACCATGCTTCCCACGGTTGCTGTCATGATTCATAGCAATACTCACTTCCCCATAGGCAATGGTGTTATTGTATCTCCTCATCTCAGGATAAACATGGTCCAGGTACCACTGGAAATTCTTACACTTCAACCTTTTCCTTAAAGCTTTCCTTTCTGAGACATCACCAATATCTATTCCTGGGTTCTGAAAACAGAATTTGAAAAAGGCACAAAGCTCAGAATAACATTAATGGGAATGGAAGGAATCAGACATAAAGATGGAAGAGCCCTCAGAACTGCTTCACTTGAGGACAGAACCAATTATCGTCAGCCTCAGGGGAATCTCTGCCTTGTGGCTTTCAGGAAACTTAGATGACATCTGGATTCACATCCTACCTTTGGTGTTTATTTATACCTGGATGACTTGGACAACTCACTTAACATTCGTTGGCATTATTTTCCTCATCTGTAAAAGGATGGAGTCAGATGAAATGGCTACTGAGGTTCCTCCCAACTCTAGACTTTTGATTTCATGATCTCTCTGGCTCCTCATCTCAAATAAGAGGGACTAAACTAGACTTCTGAAGGCTCTTCTAGCTCTAGATGCTAGAAGGATGCTCCTAGTATTCAGAGAGTTCACAGAATCTTGGACAGAGACACGAAAGGCTGACGAGTCCAATCTGGATATGAAAAAGACCCCTCTCTTTGCCATTCCTGACAAATGGTCATCCAGTCTTTCCTTGCCTTCCTCCAATGAGAGCAAGCTCACTCCCTCCCAGGGCCAGCACCTTCCTTTTCTAGATAGTGCTAGTCATTAGGAAGTTTTTCCTGATATCAAGCCTAAATTTGTCTCTTTGAAATTTGCAGCTATCTTTCACAGTTCTCCCTGGGGTCATCAGGAAAAGTCTAGCTCCTTCTTTCATTGGATAGCTCTTTACATGCTTGAGGATGGCTACCATGTGCCCAAGCCTTGTCCCCTCCCTGCTAAAGCTGCTCCAGTCCATTTGGGGTCATCAACTCTATTCATCTAAAGCCCCATTAGAGAACAACGTGCCTCCCTGCCCACGGTCCAGAACATCTCCCTCATACATTGTGAACCAGTGGGGTGATGGTGCCTTCTCTTTATCCTCAATGGTTCATCTTCCACATTGCTTTCTCTAACCACCAGGCATAATTATTCATATAATGATCTGATAGAGGCAAGACAAGAGAAGCCAGCAACCACTGCACTGAGCCCTTTGTTACAGGTATGTGACTCACTGTCTACCCCCCATAACCCCCCCATACCTCCTTCTTTAGTTCCCAGTTCTGTCTTTCCTGAAGTTCATTATATGCAGAAGGGAAGGTAATTTTCCATTACAAAGCTCGTAATGATCTTCTAATGAATTATTCGCTTGGATTTTACCAAAATGAACAGTTAATGGGCTTCTGTGTGCAAAGGTAAAAATCAGGCATCCAAAATGTGAAACATCAGACCCTGCTGAAGGTTGCCTTGGATCAGGGGAAACACAAACTTCCATTGCCTGGCAGCCCAGAGATGACAGATAATGGCAGCGTCTGGAAGTGGGGGAAGATGGCACTAACTATTTCATTAAGGTTTTGGCAGCAGTATGGGCAGAATGGGCTTTTTCAGCCCTACTAATTTTTACAGGAATTTTAATTTTAGGCCAGCTATGGTGGAATAATCTGTCTTTTTTTGTTTCCTGTTTTTTTTTCTTTTAAAAGCTCTGTTGGGGATCTCAACATTTCTAGATCATTTTAGCTACACAGATACTGTCAATTTTATAATAAAACAAAGTGGCAGTTCAAATTTTCATATATAGGGCATAGGATTATGAGATTTAGGATGGAAGGGACCTTGGGGGCCATAGAGTCCAATCTTCTCAACCTACAAAAGGGTAAACTGAGGCCCAGAGATGTGAAGTGGCTTGGCCACGGATTTGAACTCAGGTCATGTGAATCCAGAACCATTGATCTTTCCACTGTATCGTGGTGTGAGAGATGATCTCTCAGAAGTGAAGCCTCCTCAAAGGTCAAGCCTCCTCAAAGGTCAATAGTTCTCGTTAACAGTTCTCCATTGTTGTTTTCAAAAACATCCCCCCTGCTCAGACCCTGTTTTTAAGCATTTAACAGAAAGAATGAGCCCTGCCCCCAACCTAAACTGCTTGCCCTTGCAAAACTTCCCGCCTTTTCTTGTCTCTGCGCAAACTCGTGTAACTACCTTTGTCCTAGATTTCCGTGAAAAGATTGTGCCCCCTGAAAGCCCAGGCAATGTGATAAGGGGAAGGGGGTTAGGGAGGAGGAACTCGCATTAGGGTATAAATAAGCCTTGATTTCCATAAGGAACTCGTACTCTCCTGGCCCAAGATGGCGACTAAGAGGGTACCCTTTCTCATGAAAAAGCAATAAACTCCTTTCTACTTTCAAGGTATCTAAGTCTTTGTTTTTAATTTTGAGTAAGTGGTCTCTGTCCCACACAGTGGTACCTCCAAGAGCAGTCAGTGAACCTCCTTGGCCCTCAGTTTCCCCACTTGTAAAATGTGAATAATGATATCTTGCATTATCAGCCTATAGGGTTGCTGCAGGGAAACTGTTTTATAAACTGTGAAGTTCTAAACAAATTTGGGCTGCTATGAAAACTATTGCCAATTCCCCAAACACACATACAAACACCCATACATATATACATACACATAAACACAATACATATGTATATGCACACACAAGTACTTGTACATATACACATACAAACACATATTCACAAAAGATACACATACAAGTACTTACACTATAAAACATATGTACACATATGCACACACAAGCATGCGCATGCGCATGCACACACACACACACACACATACACACACACTTGTGGTCCTGAAAGTGGTTGGGAATCCATAAAAAGCTGGGGGAAAACTCCAGGGATATAGAGTGAAGGTATTTCATGTGGCAATGGGCTGGACAACATGAATTGTCAAAGCCTCATCTCATGAGGGCCAGGGGTGGGGAGGGGGTAAGGATCCAGAAAGATGATGTAGGGTAAGTAGTTTGGAAATTTTTAAGCTCTAAGTAAATGTCAAAGAGCAAATTGCTTTACATACAAATTTTTTGGAAATTTATTGTAGAAAACATGCCATCAGTTCTTTACTCTCATCATCAATGTGGTTTGATGTAATTGAGAGGCTAGGGTTCAAGGACCTGAGTTTGAACCCTGGCTCAACTACCTGACCATCCATCTGGCCTTTGGCTCCCCAGGCCAGAGTTCTCCTCTCTGAAAAAATGAGGGATTGGTCTAAACAAGCCTCAGGGATGTCATGCAATTTGCCCAGTGTCGCACAGACGGTGAGTGCCAGAGGAAGGATTTAAACTCAAGTCCTCTGACTCCAGGGACAGAGCCCCACAGTAGAGGGCAGTTCAGTTGGGGAAGGAGGGGTAATATGTGACTGGTATAAAATCAAAAGGCATCAATAAAACTTGCCTTTCCTCTGTTAATCCTTTCTAATTTATTCTGTACACAGCTTGCTTTGTATATATTTGTTTGCATGTTGTCTCCCCCATTAGACTGCAAGCTCTTGGAGGGCAGGAACTGTCTTTTGCATCTTTTTGTATCCCCAGCATTTTAGCACAGTGTGTGGCACACAATGGGTATTTAATAAATGTTAACTGATTGTTTGAAAACAGGGAGGAAGGAAGGAAGGAGAGAAGGAAGGAAGGAAGGAAGGAAGGAAGGAAGGAAGGAAGGAAGGAAGGAAGGAAGGAAGGAAGGAAGGAAGGAAGGAAGGAAGGAAGGAGGGAAGGAAAGAAGGAAGGAAGGGAGGGAGGGAGGAAGAAAGGAAGGGAGGGAGGGAGGAAGAAAGGAAGTAGGAGAGAGACCAAGAGAGGAAGGAAGGAAGGAAGGAAGGAAGGAAGGAAGGAAGGAAGGAAGGAAGAAAGAAAGAAAGAAAGAAAGAAAGAAAGAAAGAAAGAAAGAAAGAAAGAAAAAGAAAGAAGAAAGAAAGAAAGAAAGAAAGAAAGAAAGAAAGAAAGAAAGAAAGAAAGGAAGGAAGGAAGGAAGGAAGGAAGGAAGAAAGGAAGGAAGGAAGGAAGGAAGGAAGGAAGGAAGGAAGGAAGGAAGGAAGGAAGGAAGGAAGGAAGGAGGGAGGGAGGGAGGGAAGGAAGGAAGGAAGAAACGTATATTTAGGAACAGATATGATTGTTAGGAACTGGAGCCAATTGATTATACAAGACACGGGGAGTCCTTCCCCACCAGCAGCCCCTGTCTGACTGTGATCAGAGCTGCTTGGTGCAGACTGAGATGTGGGTCAGGCAATGCTCAGCTGGTACCTCCAGAGGCAGGTTCCAGGCAATGTACACGTGGGACTTGTAGTCATCCATCCAGACCTCGGCCACTCGCAGAGCGTTCCTCTTGGTGTAAAAGCCGATGTTGTTGTTGTAGGGCTTCTTCTTCCTCTCAATGTGGGCCACTCGGGAACAAGGCAGGACCTCCATGCTGCCTCCACAGAGCCACACCTGAAATGGGGAAGGATGAGGCACACAGCGGTCAGTCTGAGGGGTTCTTTGCTTTTCAGAGGCCTGGATCCCTCACAGGGAGATCATAGGATCATAGAGCTACTGCTGGAAGGGACCTTAGAAGTCACTGTGCTTATTTTACAGATGAGAAAACTGAAGCAAACAGAAGTTAAGTGACTTGCCCAGGCTCACACAGCTAGTAAAGTGTCTGTGGTAGAATTTGAACCCAAATTTTCCTGATTCAAAGTCTAGCACACTATATATTATAATACCAGGCTTCTGGCATGAGGTGTACTCATTAGCATGCAATTTCTTCTCCCTTGGAAAGGAAGATCCTCTAAGGTATTTTCCTAGTCCAATGACTGAGTGTGTTAAGGCATCTTTTTATACTGAAAGAGCAATGGTAGCAATTGTCCTCTAATGAGGAAGAGGTAGACCCTTTGCTGAGGCCTCCAGCTGAAGCTAGAGGTAGAAGAGGTGAGGAATTCATGACCTCATGCCCTGGGGAGCCATAGCTGGCAGTGACCATAAGTCCAGGAGAGCTCTGGGAAGCGTGGACCCTGCTAGAGTGGCAAAAAGCGAAGCCTGGCAGGGGCTTCAAATCACCTCCACATAGGTGGTGGCTGTAACATATCCAGCACAAACTGAAAATGTATTGTATACTACGTGAGACTGATGGCAGAAGGCCCAAGAAGAGTAACTTGACGACACTAGAAAATGTCGAAGGACTGTCAGTGCTGGAAGCCTGGACTATCCCTCCAAGTAAGTGCCTAGCTATACATGCTTGTTATATGTGTGTTCCTTGCCACATGTGTTCCCTATGTGTGTTTTGTTCCATATATGTTCTTTAGGTAATGCCCACTCTCTCTACTGATTTTGGGTAAAGTGTACCATGTCAATAGTGGCTGGGAGTGGAGATCTTTTATTGCTGATTTTCTTACTATACTATTTCATTGAATGTCTTTACTTTGAACTGATCGTGTCTCCTGGAGGATTGGAAAAAGTAAATACACTGGTGGGGGCTCATGAGCTACATTTTCCAGTGCATTCAGTGGATTCAGACTAAATAAGGGCCATGAGTTTGTTTTCAATCTAGATAAACTCTATCACCAGCTGCCTCTTGATCTAACAGTTTGGTGACCCTGAAGGAATCTGAAATGTCCTGTATTTGCAGCCAGGGCTTCCTGCCTCCATGGTCAGCTCTCCTTTATATACTGCAGCATTGCCTTTAGAAATATGAGGGCAACAGAAGCATCTTGTTTTTCCTACTCTTTTCCATTTTACAGAGGAGGAAACTGAGACCTAGAGAGAGTAAATGCCTCATCCAAGGTCAAAAGGCTAATAGGTATCAGAGGTGACATTTGAACCCAGAGCCTGGAGTCAGGTGCTCTTTCTCACCCTGCATCATCCATCACTTACAAAAAGAGATAACTTTTAATCAGCCCCCAATGGAGGACTTTTGTCCCAGGCAGGGATGTAATAAATAGTTATAGGGGATAAAAAAAATGGAAGCCCTGGGGAGGTGAAGGCTAAAGAAAAGACCTTCCAGCTGGGTCCCCCAGGTACCCCAGTGTGGCCACGGCCCTGCTTCACACCAACAAATGCAGCCCCCCAAACCCGTCCATTTCAGGCTCCAAGTGATCGCTCAGAAAGCCGGCCTGCTATACTTTTTTGCATGTCTGGGAAGTCTGGCCCAAGCTTTATGGCAGTTTGTGGAGCATGGCCAATTTCAAACCCCACAATTGAGCGGGAGGAGAGTCATGTCTTGGAACTCTATGGTCAAGTCAACTTGGATCCCAAGCTGCCACCTCTTATAAAATGCCCATCATTGTAGTACCCATATTCTCAAGGAATGCAAAACAGCCAGGAATTATGGATGTCAAAAGAATGAAAGGGTTTTTTTAATCTAATTTTTATGGCTATCTTTTAGGTTTTTTACATTACTTTCATTTCCAAAGACATCCTTTTTTCCTCCCTTTCCCATTGAGTCATCCCTTGCTAAAATATAAATGTTACATTTATAAAATATAAATCTGTAAAATATAAGCATATTATGTTTATGAAACACAATATATTACATTTATACTTATAAAATAGAAATATATTATGTATTGTATTTATAAAATAAAGGGCAGCTAGGTGGCACACTGAATAGAGTTCCAGGACTGGAATCAGGAAGAAAGATTCATCTTCCTGAGTTCAAATCTGGCCTCAGACACTAACTAGCTATGTGACTCTAGGTAAGTCACTTAACCCCGTTTACCTCAGTTTTCTCATCTGTAAAGTGAGCTGAGGAAGGAAATGGCAAACCACTTTAGTATTTTCGCTAAGAAAATACCAAATCGGGTCACAAAGAGTTAGACATGACTGATAAATGACTGAACAACAACAAAAATTTATAAAATAGTATAGTATAATAATAATATAGTATATTGTATTTATACAACTTATAGTATATTATATTTTTGTATTTTATATATTATACATTGTTTTATTATCTATTTTATATTTATTATGTTTTAAAAATACATTACATTTATAAAATAGAAATGTACAATATATCAAATATATATTTAAAGGAGGGGAAAAAAAAGCAGTTCCCTAAAACTGATCAATACACCCACTATGCTGAACAATATTTGTAACATTTATTCTACTTTCATAGTTCCCCATACTTCCTTGTTTTCTTAATTTCAGGAGAACCAAAGTGTCAAACAGGCTGGTGGGAAGTAAGGGTGAACAGGTGCTGAGCCCAGTGACGCTGTGAGGCAGGGCTGAAGATAGGCAGGGCCCCAAAAGGAGGCAACTCTGTTGTGTTCTTATTGAGAGTGAGAGAAGGAAGCAGATGGACAGCCACTTTGATGGTACCGAAGGTATTAAAGGAAAAAGAAGAAGGCCTACGGGGCACTGGGCAGACTGGTCTTCTAGGGAGAATCACAGACCTTGGAGGCCATAAAGTCCAACATTCATTTTACAGATAAGGAAACAGAAGTACAGAGGGATTAAACATGAGATATAGGGAAATGTGGATAAACTTCATACAGGGTCAGAAGAGGGCAGGAGGGTTTGGGGGCTCAGGGACTTAATCCTCAAAGGCCATTGATCCATCCTTCTGCTGATCAACACCAGTGCTTTCAGCCCCCAAGTCTCCTGATCTGATTTCTGAGACCTGAGGCAGGTAGAAATCAGATTGCTTCCATATGGGGAAATAGAGCTAGGGGTTTTTTTGTGCGTTTTTTTTTTTTTTGGTATTCACCACCATGCATCAATGAAATTGCTTCAGCAGATAAATAACAGAGCCTTCCAGGCCCTTCTATGACAACTTAGCTCCTTTTCTCCCTTTTCCTTCTCTTCCTTTTTCCCACAGATCTCTTTCCTGTATCATAGGATCATAGAATCAATCAGTCAATAACCCAACTATGTCATTAAATACCTACCATGTGCTAGGTCCTGGGGATACAAAGGCAAAAATTAAACCCTCCAGGCTCCCTTAGAGAGTTTCCACACATGTAATAAACTTAGAACTGAAGGGATCTTAGATGTAACCTAGTGTATTCTCCTTTATACAGACGAATCAACTAAAGCCCAGGGAAGTCTTGCCCAAAGTCTCACAGGAATTAAATAATGGAGCAAGGATTCAAATAGGGAAGTTCTCCAAAGCCTGTCTTCCTCTTTCCCTACCCTACCACCACCTCCCCCATCTTCCTTCCTTCCTCCCTTGCTTCCTTGTCTCTTCTTTCTTATCTTCCTTCTTTCCTCTCCTTTCCCCTTGCCCTCCCTTTTTTTCTTTCTTTTTCTTCCTTCCTCTCCTTTCTTTACTTCTTTCCTTCCTTTCCTCTCTCTTTCCTTGTCTCTTTTCTTTCCCTTCCTTCCTTTCCTTTCTTTCTCTCTCTTTCTCTCTTTCTCTCCTCTCTCCTTCCTTCCTTGTCTCTTTCTTTCCTTTCCTTCCTGTCCTTTTTTCTTTCTTTCTTCTCCCTTCCTTTTCTGTCTATTTCTCTCTTCCGCCTTCCTTTCTACATAGTAACTCAAACAGTAATATTCCAAAGCTACCATCATCACATTTTACAATTAGATGATCCATCAAACATCACTAGAAATATGAAGACAGAAACATTTAGCAGCTTTTGGATGGAGAGAATCAGTGTGCCTGGTGAGGCGGGAATCTTGCCCTCTATTAATCTGATAACTCTCTTCTTCAGAGTTTAACACTGGTATCAGAAGAATAAACTGAAAACAAGCTTAGAGACAATTGGAATTATTTATATGGCATTGGAGGAGAGGGGAGATGCTGTTATCATTCTCTCAGCTGGCATTCATCACCCAATCTGTTAGCATTTCTTTTGCCTCTTGCATAGGAAGAAGATGGTGCTGGGCAGCTGTAATTACAGCTGGGCTTCTCTTCTGCTGTGGATGCTTAGAGTGATGGCAGGAAGCTACCATGCAAAGGGCAGTGATCTATCTGTTTAATAGGTTTAATCCTGTTTATCCAACTCCCAAAGTGCCTGGATACCTTTCTGGAGGATTAGATGGGAGCATAAAGCATCTTGGGATATGCCTGGCACAGCTACATGCTTGGAAGAGAAAATGACATTAAGTCGCTCCTAAGGTTTCCCAAAACTGGCAGTCACTTCCTTTCTCCCTCCCCCAGTGAAACTCTACTGCCCCTCCCCCCACACACACATCGGCCATAACTTGTGGGGTTAGGAATCAGCAGGAAATTACAAATGCTTTGGAGCCAAATTAGACAAAATGAAATGCCCAGCCAAATAAATGCATACTTCCTGCCCCACGGATCTCTCCAGTTTAATACCTGCCTGCTGACTGACATAATAAGTCAGGTCTCTGACAGATGGGCAGGGAGTGGGAAGCTCTAGCATGTCTCTGTGAGGTTCTCTGCCCATCTGCCTTCTCCTAATGGGGACCTTCATCCTCCTTTTTTTTAATCAAACCACCTGGAACTTGGAACTCGCCATGGCTTTGACCCAACGCTACATTTTGGA